TCCTTCCAGTAAACCAGGAGTGTCAAACTCAAATTCACAGGGGCCAAAATTAAAAACTGGGATTAAGTCGTGGGTCAAACTAAATATTTACTGCATGTTTTCTCTTTTTTCGAGATATGTAATGTTAAACTTTTTCTTATTAAAATAAATGTTTAATAATAGTTTTGCTTAAACATTGAATCCAGAACAAGCAGAATATAAAATAATAACAACATTTTAAATAAATAATGTCTCTATAGTCGATCTGTAGCCGGTGAGGAGCTTTAATACAGATTTGATATGATCTTGCGGGTCTAATATTTTAATATCGCGGGCCAAATTTGGCCCCGGGCCTGAGTTTGACATATCTGCAGTGAACAATAGGAGTGTAACGATATCGAAGTCTCACGATACGATATCGTCACAGTATGAACCTCACGATACGATATTTATTGCGATATCGTGGGAAAGCTCACGATTAGGAATGGAACAATATTCAAAACTTTTTTTCACGATATTTTTCACAAAATACATTTCACGGTACGATATTTATCGCAATATTTCGTGGCGACTAAACAGCTAAAATTGTAAATGATACTTTTTCCTCTTTAAAACGCCTTGACAAGACTTAATCCAAAGAACTAAGACTTAAAAGTGTTAGAACTGTTATTTCTTCTTTTGTCTGCACTGAAATGGAGCAAAGGATCATGGTCTATGTAGTTTTTTTTTTAACTATCTAAGCAAAGAGACTTGTAATTCAATATATTGTGACGGTCCACGATATTATTGTGAGAACTTTGACGATACGATATCACAACATTTCAATTTTTGTTTTGTTTACATCCCTACTAAATAAACGAAATAATTTAGTAAAATACACCAAAAAAATACTCTTGGTGATATATCGATACAGCAGCCCACGAATATCGATACTGTATCATGACATTAAACGATACGATATATGGATATTTTGATATTTTTTGCAGACCCCTAATATGTAGTATGTGTATGATTATAGTTTTTTTGTTATTGTAAATGTAGGATTAAAATAAGACACGCTTCTTCTTACTTTTTTTTAAATTTTGTTTGTTTATTTCTCTGTTAAATCTGAATATTCTCAGAGTTTGGAGACTGTATGTTGTCCCTTTAAACTCTTAACGCTAAACAAAAACAAAACGATCAATCAGTCACAAGCTGTACAAGGAAGTCGTTAAAATCACTAAACCGGGACAAGCCCAAAACCAAAGTCCTTCATCTGGTTTCTGTCTGACTGTGCTGCTTATTCATTCCCCCGGGTTGCGCGGTGTTGCAGAGGCGGCCGATCGGGCAGTGGGCGGGGCTTTGGGACGGGGGTGGGCGGGGCTTTGGGACGGGAGGGGTCAGGGGGGTTCCCGGGCTCGCGGCGGTCGGAGGAGTTACATCATGTGGCAGTTATGATTCAGAGGGAGTTGAACAGCGGCAGAGGCAGGTGACAGACGCCCTTAGAGATAAATACAGAACACACACACACAGAACAGAACAGGCCTTCTAGAAAGTTCTCTGCTACACCCCAAGGCCGACTTTTGTCACAGAGAGTTTGGAAGATTATATTTCTGCCTGCCTCGTCGAATAGAATAAAAGACTTCTATTATCTATTTATTTATTTTTGCACAAATGTAACTAGGGCTGAAATCACGATTAGTCAAACGATTATTTTTTACTTACACGATGCATTTATTCAGCATTTCTCTCTAAAAAAAAACACTTTGTTATTGATAATTTACACAAAACATTCAAACTTCAACTTGAATTATATGAGTTTGGAGATCGTTTGACACACAAATTGAAATCTTAATTATAATTCAGTTAATTGCACAGCTTTATATAAAACAATAAACAATAAATATAGCCGCAAGCGGCGATGATCGGCCCTCACATTTGCCCCCACACTAACCCTAATAACCCTGAGCTTAAACCTAACCCTGAGTTTTTTTATTGAGATCATGTCACAAAAGTGGGTACCAAATTTTCTATATCTATGACAAATAAAACCTTATTTTTCATACAAATTTTCTAGGGGGCGCTATTGCACCCATTTTTTTGTTTTTTACATCAGTCTGTTCAGGGTCGAGGTGTGAACCCACGATTAAAACTTGAGTGAAATCAGCCAGAGTTTGTGTGATTTGTCAATTTTACCAATGGAATAACATAGGGAGTTTATGTCATCGCTATGGCGACGCCATAAAAAAAATATGGCAACGCCATAAAAAAAATATGGCATGGGTGTCATTGACTTTTGGATCAGGATGCCAAAACTTAATTTTGTGCAAAATTTCAGACATTTTTGAAAAACTTTTTTTTTTTTTCTCCCATATTAAATTTAGTTTCAATCTATAGGGGGCGTTAATGTGCCAAATTAATAATTTTCACATTAAGTAGCTTCAGGACAGAGAGTTTAACAACTTTCAAATTTCATTGAAATCGGAGTTCATTTGAGTAAATGGGAGCAATTCGTAAATATCCAGAAATCTCCAAAATTGTGTGCAGTATTTGTTGCTTCACTGCTCAGAGACTGTAAGACGTGTGTAAAAAAAATCGGATAACTTTTGATGTTCCACCTCTTGAGATAATGTGGACCAAATCTGAGTAAGCACACGAGATAAAAAAGTAGGTGCTGGAAGAGACAAAAAAAACAGAAGAGCGAAATATTAAAGCCTTAAGAATAAACGCACCAAGAATCTCAGACTTCCGGTCATTGTGCAGTGCAAACTGGGAAGGATTTTCCGAAAAAGTGAGCATCAAAACTTTTGCAAGTTGAGACTTGCAAAACACTTGGTCCCATCTCTGTGGATTAGTTTATGAAGAAACACAACAGATGAAAATGTCCCTGGTGTAATTTGTTGATTTCTGTGCAGGTGTAAAGAGAAAACCTTACATCCTTCGTATCAGTCGAGCAGATCCGTGTTTTTGCTCCGGTCGAGAGGAGCATGCAGTCGCAGAAGAAGCACCTGCTGGAGGGTCTGATCCAGGCGGCGCTCCTGCTCAGCCTGTGCGGGGTGAGGGTGGACGTGGGGCTGGACCCGGGGCCCCTGCCTTGGTCCGAGAGCCTGATCCTGGGGCCCACGTCCGCCCTGACGCCCACGCACCTGCACAACCTGAGGAACGCGCTGGAGGGAGGCGCCGAGCTGCACCCCAAACACCCGGACCTGGACGCCTTCTTCACCTCCAGGCGTCTGCTGGGCTTCGTGCGCGCTCGCTGGACCGGCTGCAGGTGAGGAGGGGGCGGGGCTACAAACAAATCTGTGTATTATCCGTTCAATCGTTTTTTAAAATAAAACCAAAAATAAGAAAACGAAAAAAACAACAACAATTTTCTTCATTATTTGTCTCCAAAACCAAAATGAAAAAACAGATAATGATTTGTTTTTTCCAGTTTTTGATTTTGTGTTTAAATGAAAAATGGAAAAAAAAAAACCTGATAATGACAGTTTCCGACACTCCTGGGTTAGTCCTGGTTTAGACCTGGTTTAGACCTGGTTTAGACCTGGTTTAGTCCTGGTTTAGACCTGGTTTAGAACTGAGACCAGAATCGGACCAGGACCAGGACCAGACCAGAGCTAAGACCAGGACTGAGACTGGTTTAGTCCTGGTTTAGTCCTGGTTTAGTCCTGGTTTAGACCTGGTTTAGTCCTGGTTTAGGACTGAGACCTGAACCGGACCAGGACTGAGACCAGAACCAGACTGGAACTGAGACCAGGACTGTGATGACTGGTTTAGACCTGGTTTAGGACTGAGACCAGGACCAGGACTGAGACCGGGACCAGGACCAGGACCAGACCGGGATTAAGACCAGGACTATGACCGGTTAAAAAAATTTTAATCTATTTATTTGTCAATTTTAGTGCATTTGTCTTGTAAAAATATTGTGTTTTTATTATTATTTTAGCCGAGCATGATGGATTATATTTAACTAATTATTTATGGAACAAAACATTCCGCACTGGAGCTTTGTAACACTTTATTTTGTAATTATGTTTTTATACGTGTTTATTGTAGATAATCTGGATAAATGTGAAATGTGGGACCAGAATCGCAAATCTGCAAAACAAATTTACCTACGGGTACGAATAAAACGACCGAACCAAACCCTGTAGGGCTGGTATCATTAAGAAGTTGCCGATACGATACATACCTCGATACACAGGCCACGATACGATACATACCTCGATACGCAGGCCACGATACGATACATATACCATACGATACATACATACAGGCCACGATACGATACATACCTCGATACATACCTCGATACGATACGATACATACGATACGCACCACGATACGATACATACGATACGATACGATACATACGATACTACATACGATACCATACGATACGATACGATACGATACGAGTACTACAATAAAAAATAATAGGCTAAATCGTGGCTGTGATACTAAAAGTCTTTGTTAAACCACTTCATATGAAACTCAAACATTTTTATCCACAAAACGGTGTCAAAATGTCAAATGTGTCGCATAAATGAGTTTCCTTTCACTCCACAAGCAACAAAACTGTAGCTGTAACGAAATAATTAAGTAAAACACACGTAAAAATACTCTTGGTGAAATATCGATACGGCAGCCCACGATATCGATACCGTATCGTCACATTAAACGATACGATATATCGATATTCTGATATTTTTGCACACCCCTAAAACCCTTCATGTTAAATGTAAAACAGTATTTTTATTCATCACAGAAAAAAATGTGAAATTTAGCCTGATATTTCAATAAACCCGTAGTAACGTAATAAAAACATCGCCAGGATTGAGAAAACATGTTCTGTAAAACCTTCAGCGTTTTCATCACACATATAAAAATTAATATCATCAGCGGTCGGTTAAAGCCTCAGCTCCTGCAAGAACAGCTGCAAACAGAACCGCCGACTCATACAGAGAAGAGTTGAATGTGTGCGACAGCTGGAGGCTGGGGTGAGGTCTGGACCGCGGACTGTAAACGGTCTCAAGTCTGAACATACCAGACGTTTATTCATTTGTGCACAGGCCCGAGCTCCTGCATAAAACTGGACAGGACAGAAAGTCTCGTATGGTTCCTCCGCGTTATTGTGAGAATAAAAAACGTCCAAACTTGTTGAAAGTCGAAATCTGCCCGCCTGAGGCCTCCGCTCCCCGCCCGGTGAACTCAAAAGAAACCAACGCTGGGTACAAAAACTAGAACTGTAACTAGATATAATCAGTGTTGGGGAGTAACAGATTACAATATGTACTGGAGTTATGTAATCAGAGTACAAATGATGAGTAACTGTATTCAGTTACAGTTACTGTTTCAGTGAGTGGTAATTGGATTACAGTTACTTTGTTGGAATAAATGGATTACACAGCGGGATTTTCCTGTTTTCACATTTTGGGCTATATCCTTTTTTTTTTTTTTTTGGTAATTCCACTCATTGCCGGAAACTAAACCAGGTCTAAACCAGGTCTAAAACCAGGTCGAAACCAGATCTAAACCAGGTCTAAACCAGGACTAAAACCAGGTCTAATCTAGATCTAAACCAGGTCTAAAACCAGGTCTAAACCAAGACTTAACCAGGTCTAAAACCAGATCTAAACTAGATCTAAACTAGGTTTAAACCAGGTCTAAAACCAGGTCGAAACCAGATCTAAACTAGATCTAAACTAGGTTTAAACCAGGTCTAAAACCAGGTCGAAACCAGATCTAAACTAGATCTAAAGTAGGTCTAAACTAGGTCTAAACTAGATCTAAACCAGGACTAAAACCAGGTCTAATCTAGATCTAAACCAGGTCTAAAACCAGATCTAAACCAGGTCGAAACCAGGACTAAAACCAGGTCTAAACCAGGTCTAAAACCAGGTCGAAACCAGGTCTAAAACCAGGTCTAAAACCGGGTCTAAGACCAGGTCTAAACTCGGACTAAACTCGGACTAAACTCGGACTAAACTCGGACTACACCAGGACTAAAACCAGGTCTAAACCAGGTCTAAACCAGGTCTAAACCAGGTCTAAAACAGGATTTAACAGGACTGCATGGACCGCGTCTCCTCGTCTAAATGTCACTACAACGTTTTTAGAAGACGCTTCCTCTACACAGACACAACTTAACACATCAAAATAACGAGAAGACGCTCCTCCCTGTTCACCGCGTGCGCCCACATTTTTACTGTGACGTAAATCCAACCTTTGTCTGCTCCCGAAACAGCCCGAGTTTGTGTTTCGGAACCCGGATTTGACTTTCTCGAGGTGGAGGTCGGTTTTCTTCGAGTCCCGAGCTCAAACGAATGCAGCGTTACAGTGAACTCGATGGTCTCAGATTTATAAAAAGTGCTTCTAAACTCATGGCGGTGAATAATTAGGACGCAGAACGCCTTCGTGCGCTCGCTGGACCGGCTGCAGGTGAGGAGGGGGCGGGGCTACAAACAAATCTGTGTGTCGTTCGTTCAATCGTTTTTCTAAATAAAACCAAAAATAAGAAAACGAAAAAAAAAACTACAATTTTCTTCATTATTTGACTCCAAAACCAAAATGAAAAAACAGATAACGATTTGATTTTTTTCGTTTTTCATTTTGTGTTTAAATGAAAAATGGAAAAAAACTGACAATGACAGTTTCCGACACTCCTGGGTTAGTCCTGGTTTAGTCCTGGTTTAGACCTGGTTTAGTCCTGGTTTAGACCTGGTTTAGACCTGGTTTTAGTCCTGGTTTAAGTCCTGGTTTAGTCCTGGTTTAGACCTGGTTTAGTCCTGGTTTAGTCCTGGTTTAGACCAGGTTTAGTCCTGGTTTAGTCCTGGTTTAGACCTGGTTTAGACCTGGTTTAGTCCTGGTTTAGACCTGGTTTAGAACTGAGACCGGAATCGGACCAGGACCAGGATTGAGACCGGGACCAGACCAGGATCAAACCAGAGCTAAAACCAGGACTGAGACCGGTTTAGACCTGGTTTAGACCTGGTTTAGGACTGAGACTGGAACCGGACCAGGACTGAGACCGGGACCAGACTAGGACTGAGACCAGGACTGCAACTGGTTTAGACCTGGTTTAGGACTGAGACCGGAACCGGACTGGAACTGAGACCAGGACTGTGACTGATTTAGACCTGATTTAGGACTGAGACCGGCACCGGGACCAGGACTGAGACCGGCACCGGGACCAGGACTGAGACCGGCACCGGGACCAGGGACTGAGACCGGCACCGGGACCAGGACCAGGACAGGACTGAGACTCTGAATGCATAAAGTAAGTGAGGAATGACTTTGGACGACTGCAGACGGTTTAAACCGAGCTGGTTCTGGTTTTTGACGTGTTTAAGAAAGTAAAAATCAGGTACAGCGGCCGTAATTCGTTTTTTTAATCATGTATAAATGTTTGTTCGTGTGCCAGGTTCCTCAGGCGGAGCTGGAGACGTGGCTGGTTCAACAGGACCCCGCTCCTCTACCCGTGAGACTGCACCACACTGCCCCCAACAGGCTCATCCTGCCAGAGCAGACCCGAGACCAGGACTGGGCCGAGACCGGAGACGAGCCCCGAGACCAGGACTGGGCCGAGTCCGGAGACGAGCCCCGAGACCAGGACTGGGCCGAGTCCGGAGACGAGCCCCGAGACCAGGACTGGGCCGAGTCCGGAGACGAGCCCCGAGAGCAGCAGTGGGACGAGCCCGAGGACTTCCACACACAGGTACAACTCTCTTCAGAACAGAGCCGTAAAACGTGTTTGGTCTTCACTTTCCTCTGAAAATAGATCAAGAACATGAAGCACAGAGATCAGTTGGACTTTAGTCGTTCGGTGGATTAATCGATCTACGGTAGAGCTGCTCGATTATGAAAAAAATCACGGTTAATTTGGTCAATATTGAAATCACGATTATTCAAACTATTATTTTTTACTTACACGATGCATTTATTCACCATTTCTCTCTCAAAAAAAAAACTTTATTATTATAATTTATGCTAAACTTTCAACTTTCAAATTGAAAATAAATTCAGGCTACAAAAATGTACCTTTTTAACACAGTTTTGCGATGTATAAATCATAAAATGAATAAATTATACATGAAATAAAGCACAGAAAAGCATAAATGTATCCAAAATAAACTACATATCCAGCTGTTCTACAATCTCTATATTTGCAAAAAATAATAATAATAATAATATACTTATTTATTAGTGGTGGGTGTACACAAATATCGCGGTTTGGTACGTACCTCGGTTTTGAGGTCACGGTTTGGTTCATTTTTGGATCAGTTTGGGAACAAAATACAAAACCATTTGCTTGTTGTTTATTAGTGTTTTTATTAAACCAACAGGTTGTTTTAACTTTATACAAATGAGAAAATTAAATAAATGCAAAGTGCTGCTTGGTAATACTAATAAGTTAAATTAAATATTCTCAAATACGCAACAAATGTATGAAATATTATACAAATTTTATTCCTTGTAAACAGTCATCAAAACTTTTCATAAAGTGAAGTGCAGCACTAACAGTTCCAGCATGAACTTTTACTCAATCTTCATATTTTTGGCCAGAAAAAACAACTTTTTTCTGGGGGGGCGAGTGTGAGGACCGCGGGGCGACGATTGTAGTTTTATGAGGATTCACGTGGTTTGGAGGGACGTGGTCAAGGCGGGGGGGCAATAGTTGTCAAGACGGCCGCCCTAACTATAAAGCGCTGCGGGAAACACTTTCGCCCCGATCACAGACGAGTTCCATCGTGAATATTAACGAGTCGAGCCTCTGTGGAGCTGCACGTGTAGTGGTGGAATGTAAACACACAAACTCACACTGAACTGAACGTCCTGTACCAAATACATGTAACATTACACACCTATAATTTATATTTTAAAAAATCCCCAAATAAACATTGCTAAGCTTTAATCATTTCAACTCAATTAAATGAGTTTGGAGAAATCGAAATCGCAATCAAATTTCAATAAATTGCACGGCCTTAGTCTATGGCAGGAGAGTCAAACTCATTTTGGTCCTGGGGCCGTATCCAACCGACTTTGATCCCAAAGGGGCCGGATCAGAAAACTCATGTCATATAAACCCCAAAAATAACAATAAGTTCAAATATTTGTGCAGAGAAACACAAATCTATTACAGAAATCTTTTTTAATTGATGAACTCTTTCTTTTACAAAATATTATGAACAACCTGAAACTTTAAAAAAATTGAATTTCAGCACAATGTTTTAACATGAACTTTTATGTAAATAGGAATAAGTCCATTTTTGTTGTAAAATCCTGCACTCGGCTCCACTTTTTCTCATGTTGGACATTTTTCTGATGAGGGTGTCACGGTCAACAGTCAAAACGATCGTCCTTTAAGAGCGTTTGGAAAGAGACAAGTCTTCATTTGTGCTGCTCTGGTGGGAGGGGCCACGTACAGAGACGCTGATATGCTAAGCACCACAGAAAATTAACAATATTTTAATAGAAAATATAATTTCAAATATTTTAGTAGAAAATCAGCCGAGGGCCAGATTAAAGGTCTTGGAGGGCCGCATCTGGCCCCTGGGCCGCATGTTTGACACCTGTGGTCTATGGTCTTGATTTTTTTGACTCAGGTTTGACTTTATTACGTGAAAAAAGCAGTAACCGTTTATATTTAGGCACACAGTACATTCTTGACATTTTAGATCAGACTCGTGCTGCGTTCAGACACCGACATCTAAACGAACGACCTGCTGGACTCTTTCATGTGACGACACAAACATGAACGTTCACGACATTATCTCTTTTGTTGTTCGGCGAGAATCACCGCCGCATCATCCCCCATCATCGCTCACTACTAAATGACTTCACGTTTGCAGCTACTATTATTAGCCTTATTTCCCCTGCCTCTGTCCTCACCTCAGACGCTGCTGTACGAAACATGAGTCAGAGTTTGTCGGGCGTCGAAAATAATCCCCAGACTAGAGATTGTGACACTGTAGACCTGTTCATACACACTCTCAGAAGTTGCTTAACAAATTAAATTGAAATCAGTTGTTTCTTTATAAAAAAAATAAAAAAATAAATAAATATAAAACATTAAAATCTAAAATGCACAACTGATATTTTGATACATTTAAAGGAACAAAACACCACAACCTGATTTTTACCGTCTTAAAAACATGAAAAACTAGTTCATTGTGACCAAACCAGACCAGACAGTTTTGCAGACAAGATAAAACTAACAATAACTAGCATTCTAACTGTGCACGCCCTGATTATCGGACATTAAAACACTTAATAATTAGATTCAGACATTACACAGGAGACTTATTTTGACCTCAAGAGCTGCTCGAACAATTTATCTGTACTGGAGCAAGACACATTTGGCTCAAAAACACAAGAATAAAAAACTCTAAAAGTATTGCCAACATTTGCCACATTTACATTCTGAATAAAAATAATTTAATTCTGAATAAAAATGAATTCTGCTTTTAAAAAACCATGTCAACACGCAATTCGTAATGAAAATGATTATTCGGAATTAAACTTAATTCCAACGTAAGTGGATGGTTTATTCAAATTTTAAAGCCAAATGAATTTATTCCTCGATCATGTAAACCAGACATGTCAAACTCAGGCCCAGGGGCCAAATTTGGCCCTTGATATAATTATATTTGGCCCGTGAGATTATATCAAATTGTTATTATTTTATATTATGTTTGTTCTAGATTAAATGTTTAAGCAAAACTATTAATAAAACATTTATTATAATCAGAAAAGGTTTAACATTTCATATCTCAAAAGAAGAGAAAACACGCAGATGTCGTTGAAATTTTTCAATAAATATTTAGTTTGGCCCAGTTTTTTATTTTGGCCCTCTGTGAATTGGAGTTTGACACTCCTGAGTAAACGTTTATTCTTCTTCAAAATAATTGCGGTCATTCAGTGCCTGCTCGTTGGGTCGCCTTTCTGACGCAATCCGGACGACGTCTCTTTGGATTTGTGAGCAGGATGCAGGAGTGGGCTGAGGTAGAGCAGCCTCACACTCAGTTTGTCTTCTTCCTCCCTTCTCCTCGTCAGCTGAATTACCAAATTATCTTAATTATCATCGGCATGACTGCGGAAAAAGTTTGGATCGTGTTTGTGTCTGTGGCGTAACGACAAACGGAGATGATGAAAAAGCCGGTAGCAGCTGAAGTGTTTGTGTTTTCTTCCGGTCGACGTAAATACGTTCGTGTCCCTGTCCAATCAGAAGCCTTCCACACCCCCACCTGGAATTAAATAAAGACGATTTAACATATTTTCCATGTAAACCTCAATTCAGAATTATTATTTCCATGTAAACTCGAAGGAGAATATTTTAATTCCGAACTATTTAATTCAGAACCATCATGTAAACGTGGCCATTTTGTATTTTAGCAGCGGATAAAGCTCTTGTTTCCACGTTACGGCATTAAACATTTCTATATTTTAGGTTTTTAATTACAGGTGCTTTTATTGTGAAGGAACAAAACAACAACAAAAAACACAAAAAGTTGACCTGGTTTGTGCTCGTCTCCATGGAAATTCAAAACAATAACACTTCCATGGAGACAAAAAAAACTGTCCGAAAGCGTGAGACCTTCCGCCACAAAAAAGTTTCCACAGTGCAGCTTTTTTAATATTCGACTGAGAATATCCCGTTCTCCCGTCGGAATATGAATCTTCTAGCAGTTTCGGACACAACAGTGGAGCTGTCCCGTTGACTTATTTCGAGGGCGAGCGGCAGAGCTGAGTCACGGTGCCACGGGTAAAAAAAGCGAGAAAGAAGCGTCGAACCGGCTCACAAACGAACGCTCCTCCTCCTCTCAAACACACACGCCCAGACATCTCCTGGAGACCGACAACAAAACAAAGATTTACAGACGGACAGAGAGAGGGAGCGAGAGGGAAAGAGGGAAAGAGGGAGGGAAAGAGGGAAAGAGGGAGGGCAGGTTCAGAGTCCTGCTCGTTCAACGGAAAGTCCAACAAGGAAAGAACAGAGCACAAACAGACTATAAACTGTAAGCAGTAGACAGGGTTTGGGAGTAACAGATTACATGTACCGGAGTTACATAATCAGAGTACAAATTATAAATGTAACTGTATTCAGTTACAGTTACTGTTTCCGTGAGTGGGAATTGGATTACAGTTACTTTGTTGAAATACATTTTATGGCGTTATTTTCCTGTTTTTACATTTCAGACTATATCCTTTTTTTTTTTTTTTTCTCGGTAATTCCACTCATTGCCGGACACTAAACCAGGTCTAAACCAGGACTAAACCAGGACTACACCTGGACTAAACCAGGACTAAAACCAGGACTAAACCAGGACTATAACCAGGACTAAACCAGGACTAAACCAGGACTAAACCAGGACTAAACCAGGACTAAACCAGGACTAAACCAGGACTAAACCAGGAGGACTATAACCAGGACTAAAACCAGGACTAAACCAGGACTACTAAACCAGGACTAAACCAGGACTAAACCAGGACTAGGTCTAAAACCAGGACTAAAACCAGGACTAAAACCAGGACTAAACTAAACCAGGACTAAAACCAGGACTAAACCAGGACTAAAACCAGGACTAACTAAAACCAGGACTAAAACCAGGACTAAAACCAGGACTAAAACCAGGACTAAACCAGGACTAAACCAGGACTAAAACCAGGACTAAAACCAGGACTAAAACCAGGACTAAACCAGGACTAAACCAGGAC